TGGATTTAATAAAAGCTTCACTGATTAAAAAAAATGACAATGTTAACATTCCACTCCATTTTAAAGTAAGCAATTTATCTTTTTTTTTTTTTTTTGGTACTGGGGATCGAACTTGGGTCCTTCCGCTTGCAAGGCAGCAGAACTACTGAGCTAAATCCCCGGCTAAAGTAAGCAATTTAGATGGGCAGGGTTATAGCTCCTGTGGTAGAGTGCTTGCCTCATATGTCTGGGGCCCTGGGTTCAATCCTAGCACCCCAATCCCATAGTTAATCATCACAATCTTTCACTCCAAGGAGGGTTTGGGGTGTGAATCTTCAGAGCGTACTGAATTTTGGCCAATGGTAATTATTGCAAATAGTCCATAAAAGATCATTTATTGTTACAAATTATGACATGATCATATATCAAAAATCCAAAATCCACTTTTGTTTCTATGTGTCAAAGTTGATCCTCAAATGCTGGCCAGCAGCTTCTTATTCAAAGCCATCAGCAGTGCACCAGCCCCTTGGAAAGGTGACTAGAGGGCTCAAGGCCTCGTGCTCACCTTTGCAGGTCACTGAGGAAGATCACTCGGGTAGCATAATGTTTAAACCAGTCAAAATCAAGCTTGCTGTGGGAAAGACTTTGTCATTGAGGACACTAGTTCGGGGTGGGTATCTTCTTCAAGAAGATTCCAATTCGATCTCCTATATTAGGCTCATGTCCCAGGGATAGGTCAGAATGCTGTTGATGGTTGCTGACCCAGTGCTCCCTATACACCCACCCTTCCCTGCTCTGTAAATGTCATCTTCCGAGTGAGAGGGAAATCATAATTGACAAGCAGCTCTCCTTATGTGCTGTCTGGCCCCTTACAGCCTATGCCTGTGCAGGGAAGTATGTCTTGGCAGCCCTTCTGGAACCACTGGAGGATACCTGCCCTCTTTAAGCTGCTGCTTGCCCCTTCAGATTTTGGGATTGGATTTTGAGGCCATGCAGAATATTTCCTAGCCACTTTCTGGTGGCTAAATTGCCCAGGCTTCACTCAATCTTTTGATTCTTCTGCCTTTGATTCCAGAGTGTGGAGATTACATGTGTGGGCTATCTTGCTTGAGTTTGTGCTGTGTCTTTGAAGCTGAGGGTGGAAGGAAAATTAGAGGGGCCTAGGGTACAGGAGCAGTTTCCAGCAAGGTATTCAAAGATGATTCTGAAGCTAAGAGTTTCCCAAACTACTGAACTGTGATATTCAGTTACCTGGAGAAGGCAAGGACTTTGGAGAAATCTAACTCCAAACACTCTCTGGTGACTTACCTTGTCTACAACATGGACTTGGGGAAGCCTCTTCACTCTACTGCATCAGGTTTTGCTAGGAATTTTCTTTCCTCTTCCTCTTCAGCCAAACAGTCTCTGGTGGCAAGTAAACTCAGCAAGGCCAGGGCCACTCTGTTCTGGCACTTGGTAACACAATATCAGCACACAAAAAGCGCACAAGAAATATTTGCTGAAGAATGACTACACTTGGCTCACAGGAGCTTCTTCCATTCTGCAGCAAAGCCATGTGGCAAGAGTGACTATCTATGGCAACAGCCAAAGTGACTGTGTGCTCAGAGCTGTGCTACCAGTTAAACATGTGCGAGTTCATTTAATCCTGATCACAAGGGAGAGTTTTTCACCAGCTTCACTTTGTAGGTGAGAAAACGGAGCAGCAGGGCATACAAAGGAATACATGGATGCCCTTCTGACCAAGATGCGTGGAGGTTTCTCAAATTCCTTCAGTCCTGCTTCTGTCCCTCTCAGCAGGAAGGACCTCCACTTCTAATTTTTTTTAATTTTTTTTTGGTACCAGGGATCGAACTCGGGTCCTTGTGCTTGTGCAGCAGGTGATGAAACCACTGAGCTAAATCCTCGGCCTGGCCCTCCACTTCTTACATCCAACCATTTGTCTAGATGTCCTTTGCTGGTCACCCAGTGGTTGGTGCTGGCATTTTGCCGTTGGATGCAGGTAAGTGGCATGAGAAATCCACTTGATCACAACTGTAGGCTAAACATGCACAAGAGTGGGCATCAGAGGCAATAGGTTGCCAGAGCCAGACCTCTCCCAACATCTACACAGCATGTATGATTTCATAGCCTCAAGGTCAGACTTGCCATCTGTGTGGCTCAACCTGTTCTACTATCAGGCAACAGTACCTGTTCACAGGCACCCAGCACCCCAGAGCCCTCCCTGTGTTCAGTTTGTGTACACACAGCTTCCCTCCTTGGCCTGAATTCATGGCTCCCACAAGTGAGCTTACCCTGTGAAACTGAGCTCTCACTGCTGCCAAACTTGGACGAGCATAGGATGCACCTAATTCGCCCCCCCCCCTTCTGACAGATAACAAAAGTTGAAAATTGGACATCTTGAGTTTCTAGGTACCAAGATTAGGCTCAACGTGCCTTCTCATATCAAGCCAATTCTGGGATAAAGCTTTTTCCTTAGATCTCCAGATTTAACAGGAGTTCAGCTCTTTCTAGGCTTTTCAGAATCAGCTGTATGACCCAACCCTTGTCCTAGTCCTCAGCAATTAATGCTATGATTGTTGCTGGGCCTATGTATATGTCTTCATGACAGCATAGTAAAGGTGCCTGAGTTTCAAGTTGAGGTTTTTGAGAAGTTTTCAGTGGATAGATCTGCCGCCTGCCTCGCAAGTGCAAGGACCCGAGTTCGATCCCAGGTAACCTCCCCCCCAAAAAAGAAGTTTTCAGTGGATTTTGAAATAACTCTTATCTCTTTTTTTCCCCAAACATAAAGGTTTATGAAAGAATGGACAATTCAAACAAACACACACAAACATACAAACAATCCCTCCTCCTTACACTAGGTGGGACCAATCCAGCCTTATAAGTGAAAAATACCTTTCTGCTTTATTTGGCATAATAAAACTTACCGCTTAGACTTTACCAAAAAAATTTCCCCCTTCATATAATTTTCCTAGAATTATGTAAGGTTATGTCTATTTCCAGATCCTGAAGGTTTTGCATTTTAATGTTTGTACAACCCATTTAAAATTATGAATGTTGCTTCTATTTCATGTTCTGGGTAAAAACTCACAAGCAAAACAAAAAACAAACCACACATCATGTGCTGTAATAATATCTGTTTTGGGGATTTAGCTCAGTGGTGCTGTGCCTGCCGTGCAAGGTCCTATGTATTTATTATTAAATTATTTATTAAATATTTGTTTTGCAACATCAAAAACAGACCTTGAATATAATTTGCTTAAATCATAAATTCTGAGATTGAAATATGCATGTATAAATCACATTTAGGCTCCATGAACTGAAAGCTCTCCATAAATACATAGAAATATATATAAAGTGCAAAACAAGCAAGATCAACATGACAGCTCTGGAATTATAGTACTCCCAGTCTTCGGATTTCAGGTCAGGATAGCTGAGGATGTTCTGGGCAAGCTTCACGGCCTGTTTCCTGGTAGCCTTACATTTCTCCTTTCCCTGGATGTGGATTCAGGGCATCCAGGGCCAACAACTGCTTAGTCAGCAGCTCCTCCAGCTGGATGTAGTTCTTTTTTTTTTTTTTTGGTACTGGGGATTGAACTCAGGGACCTTGCATTTTCGAGGCAAATGGCAGAACCACTGAGCTAAATCCCTGGTCCCTGAACTACTTCCTTTTCTCCAGGGCCTCTTTCAGGTTGATGTAAGAGATCAAGGTTTGCACTTCAATCACAGCTCTTCTGGCTTTCTGAATGCATGGGTTTCTTTCAAGTCTTACTTCATCCAACTGTCCAGTCAAAGCCTGTAGTTCTGTCTTTGAGCTCAGGTACAATTCAGGAGGGTTTTGAGCTTGAAGAAATTCATTTTTTATTTCTCTCATCCTCTTGAGGACTTTTTCTGTATTCAAAATAGAATGATTCCCTCTCAGGTCAAATGTGTGAGTAATATCAGCTTCCTCTTCTAAATGCAAATATTTCAGTAATTTTTGATATCTTCAACTACTTCCCTCCAATAGTTCTGATTTCTGTATGCCCACACACATCTAAAGCATCCAGATCAGCAATCAGCCCTGAGAGCACACATGGTAACTGCCTGCAAGTCTTATTACTGTCCACTCCCATCAGAAGCACAATGACAACACCTCTGGTCTTGCTCAGTTCACACATGACAGAGGTGATTTTGGCAATAGAAGTATGTCCATTCTCAGAAAGTGGCAGGGAAGGCGGCTTTTTCACTCAGTGAAACCTTGTGTGTCTGCACCTGCCTGGGGCTGCAGTTGAGGTCTCTGGCGCTTTTGGGCACCATTTGTTCCTTCACTGTAGGCCTGCCCCACCAAAGTTTCCACCGCAGCAAAGGTGGAGCAAATTCTCAAAGCAATACCACACAATTTTTTTTCTTCCATGCGGGCAGAAAGAAAAAAAGTTTCCTTCCTCTTGTTCTCCACAAGCTCACATGTTCTTCAAAATCAGAGGCTTAGCTTATAAGGCCAATTAGAAAAAAAGAGATAGTGGAAAAGATGGTGGCCAGTGATGCAAGCCCATATAATAGTCACGTAAAAAGATGAGATGGTGGGCCGGGGATTTAACTCAGTGGTTCCGCCGCCTGCCTTGAAAGTGCAAAGACCCAAGTTCGATCCCCAGTACTACAAAAAAAAAATTAGATGATGTCTGACCACATGGGAAGGTAATATAGTGGCCAGGCACATGACAAGGCAGCTTGGCAGCACTCTGACGAAAACACAAACCTGAGAGAAAGAAAAGCCATTAACAAACTAGGGTAAGTGAAAATCAGGCTAATTTCCAAAAAGGGTAGCAACATACAACAAACAAAAACAAAGAATACCCTGCAGAGTGAGTGCAAGCAAAGAAAGAAGAAAAAAATATCTATTGTAGATGGAAGAAAAACAAAAGCCTCTCTTCATCCCCCGTGGCCAGAAAAGCAACAAACAGTTCCCTGCACCCCATGAGAAGAGCTCCCTGCATTCCTGAGAGTGTGGGAAAGATAGAGAGAAAAAAGCCTCACAGAGAGAAACAAAAAATGTGCCCAACATGGACCTTACCTTGGTCTCTTGGTACCTGAACTTTACTCCTGGGGCTATACCTAAATGTTATTGGGTAGCCATTTCCTTTTAGAAATGGCTCACCAATTAAATGTATTCCAGGTCCTTCTTGCCTCAAATAAAGAATTGAATGAGACAAGCCAAAAATGGTGCCAAAATTTATTTGAAAAGTGAGGGGTGAAGGGCTAGGGAAGCAAATCGCTCTGCAGAGGAAACTTGGGCTGAATAAAAGAGAGAAAAAAGTAAAAGCAAAAATAAAAGTACACCCTGGGTCTGGGAGACAAAGGTCAGGCTACTGTGGAAGGGACATGAGCGCAGCCTCCTTGTGAAGCTTGTGTCCTTATATGCCATCTACATCTTGTAGGAACCCACAAGAGGTCAAGATATGGGGCCTTGGGAGTTATTTGACAATGTCCTGGAATCTTGTAATTAACAGGTACAACTTATTCCCCCAGCCAGTTTTGCCAGGCTGTGCCTTTCTCTCTCAGGCCTGCCCTATGAACCTACGCATCTGAGCTCTCACTGCTGCCCATTTAGTTGAGCATCACGCTGCACCTGAGATACTTCTTTCATTTAAAATTTTTTGTTTTCAGTTTTAGGTTTTGGAGACAGTGTCTCTCTGTGGAGTGAGGCTGACCTCTGACTGAAGATCCTTCTGCTTTGGCCTTCTGATTGCTGGAATTACATGTGTGAGCCACCATGCCCAGGTGAGTTTTTCATGTTATTAAGTTTGCTGAGTGCATGCCCTGGTGACATCTTACATGTTTGTCTGACTCTTGATTTTCGTATAAACTGGTAATTGTGGCAATCTTTTATACATAAACAAATTCATTCATTCATTCATTCATTTAAGACAGACCCCAAAATGTTGCCTATGCTGGCCTCCATCTCATAGGCTCAAGCAACCTTTCTCTCTCAACCTCCCTGTAGCTGAGACTATAGGTATGGGCCAGTGTGGTGACTACAAGAAATATTTAAAAATATAGATTTATGGGTCCTCATCCTGTATTCCTTGGTCTGGCCTGGGTACTGGGGATCTGTTACTCCTAAAAGCTCCTCATCCTCCTCCCCTTCCTCCTCCTCCTTCTTCTTTTCCTAAGAGCTCTTCTGTGAGCATCTTTTTTCTCATGTGTGGGAATTGGCAATCTGACCCCTCCAGTAACCGCAAGTCTGCTCCAGTCATATCCAATATATAGGAGGGACTATGGGGATTAACAGCAACTCTCAGTGGGGACGTTTTTTGAACCTCAGGGCCTGTGCCTCTGTGTTTTTTTAAGCCCAGATTAAGAAAACTCTTTTTTTTTTTTTTGGTACCGGGGATCGAACTCAGGTCCTGGAGCTTGTGCAGCAGGCGGTGAAACCACTGAGCTAAATGCCCGGCCCTTTTTTTTTTTTTTTTTTTTTTTAAGAAAACTCTTTTTATTTAATTGTGAGACAGGATCTCACTATGTAATTCAGGCTGGCCTTGAACTCACTGTGCAGCCCAGTCTGACCTTGAACTCACAGTGATCCTGCTTCAGCCTCCCAAGTGCTAGGATTACAGGCATGTGCCACCCTGCCCAGCAAGAAAACTTGACTTCCAGGTTCTTTCCTGGCATCGTGAGTGTGCATGTTAGGAAGAGGAACAACAGATTGCTTCTGTAGCATCTCAGGACAAGTATGCTGTCCACATGGTAGGACTCTTCCTTCAGGGGTGGGAGTTACCTGTAGATGACAGTGCTGTCTCCTCTTCTGAACAGTTACTGTGAGTGAGCCGTGGACATAAGCCAATTCTGTGCCCCACCTTCTCTGCTGTCTCACATCCCACTCTTCGGGACATAATATCTCTCTACCTATTGAGAGATACATTCTTCTGGTAACAGTAAGCACCTCACTGTCATAGCATCTACATTGGATTTCTCTCTTATTCTGTTCATATTTCTGCTATATCTTTCACACCCAAAAGAAGATCCATTCTCTTCACCACAGTTCAAATGGCCATATCTACCACTCCAACAATATTTTTCATTCTGGTACAAGTAGCACAATGGGGGCTGAGAGACCTCTCCACCCACTTGAGTTTGGGCAATGTCAGTGGGCCATTCCTCCCTCCATTGTTACCTGTAACTTGATCAGAGTGAACTCTGAAACTCCGGTGCTTGTTGAAAGCCCCTGACTTGGTGACTCAGCACTCTATTAATCATTCCTGGCAGTCTTATGTAGAGACCAAACGAGAGGCACCTGGGCTGGTGTCTGCCTCCTTAAAAAAAAAAAAAGCCTGATTTGTCTGTGTGTGTGTGTGTCTGTGTGTCTGTGTGTCTGTGTGTCTGTGTGTCTGTGTGCTTTTTACTTTCCTGTCATCCTGGCACCATTTTTCTGTTTATGCCACATTTTTCTCAGCATGGACCTGCCCTGAATACTTCTTTCCATGATCTTCCATAAATGTAGCTGCTTTTCATTTACCTTTGGATATGTACTTGCAATTCTTTGCTCACCGTACACAAAAGCCCGGAATCTATTGGATCCATCCCACCAAAAAAATATCATTTGGAGGGCTGGGGATTTACTTCAGTGGTTCTGTCACCTGCCTCACAGGTGCAAGGTCCTGAGTTCAATCCCCAGCATCAAAAAAAAAAAAATCATTTGGTGAGTGTTATGACTTGTTTCTAGATGTACCCTTAAAGCCTCATGAATCATAGGTGGGGATTTTTAGAGATGGCTCTAGAGTGTGTGATGCTGGGATCAAAGGTGTGTAATTACTAAATTAGTCCACTGATTGATTTAGCATAGTTCTGGGTAGGATTAAGGGTGCCCCATCCTGGGAATGAGTGCTACCTGCCCTAAGGGCATGTAGCCTGGAGAAAATATAAGGGACAGAAAGAGGGCTGCTGTGGTTATCACTTGCTGCTTTGCTGCCTTCTGCCTGCCACAAACTGTTTCTCCTCTGTGATGCCCCTCTGTCATGTGCCACCCTGCCTTGGAGCCTGCCAACTATGAACCAAAACCTCTACAAACTGTGAGTCAAATAAACCTTTTCTCCTTTAACTTTGAGTTTTGGGTATTTTGTCTCAGCAACAAGAAAAGTAACTAAGACAGTGAGACACCCAGGAGACATTGGAAGGAAGGTAAATCCATTTTTGGGAACACTTTTTTCTCTTTTCTCCTTTTTACAAGCAACCAAAGGCACTAGTTCAGTGAATGGGACAGATTCCCGGGAGTAAGAAGAGATGATCAGATTGTAGAGCAAAAGACTTTGGTCTTATGGCCAGGGATTTAGCTCAGTGGCGCTGTGTCTGCCTGGTAAGCACAAGATCCTGAGTTTGATTCCTGGTACAGGGAAAAAAAAAAAAAAGGCTTCAACCTTTGCAGGGGCCAGGAGGATTCCTGCTGATCGATTGGGGTTGTATTTTGCTGTTGGTCCTTGCAGCATGGAGATTCCCCTCAAGTAGCCATGGTTTCCCATGCCTTGAGGGGATTGGACCTGAACCAAGCCAAAGTGAGGCAGCTGGCAAGTTTCATGGCTCTCATGGGCACTGGAAAAATGGGGTTGGGATGCTCTGGCTTGGACAGAGTTCCCCAGGCTGGTTTCTTAATATTTCTCAAGGGACTGAGCAATGTAGGCCCAGTTCATCTAATGTTATTGCTTTTCTTTGGAGGGTACAGTTGGCAGCATGCTCTGTACTGTGGAGATTTAGGTGGCCCCTTAGGTAGTGCCAAAGATGTTTGTTGGGCCCAGTGGAGCCTGTTCACTCACACTGTGTGAGTGTCCTTCTATGGTTTGTTTTCCTTCTTTCCCTCTCTTGAGGGAACTTCTGTTCCCTTCTTGTCTTTCCCTCGCTCCCCCAGCTTTCATCTATCTGCAAACTCAAATTATTTGGCTTCCTAGTGCTGGTCAACTGAGGGAGACAGAGAGCTGAAATATAGAGTACTAGCCTAGTGATTTCTCACATGGAGAATGGAAAGAAAAACTTGTCATTTTTAATGGTGCAGTTTTTGTTCTGGGAGAGCTGGGATAAGCAGTCTGTTTTCTCTGGTGTCCTAAAGCTGATCTATAGCTGTCTCCTCCTGGGGTTACTTCTTTAATGCTAGTTTGTTCCCTCCATCCTACTCGGTTTTGCTTTTGTGCCATGATCCAGTGAAATGCAGGAGAGTTGGAGACTGAGGAAGAGACTAAGAGAAGATGAGGTTCTCATATAAGGGCACAAGTTTTAAAAGTCAAATCCTGCCTGGACCTCTAGCTGTGGGAGTTTAAATTGCATTTGCTTATTTGCTGTTCTTAGACTGCCACCTACTGGCCGATACGGGGATATCACCTATTAAATATACATTTCTCAGTCAAGGGCTCTAAGAACCACACCTGAAAGTTTTTGGAGTTTTGGGGTTCTGTTGAGTAAAGCACTTGCTGCTGCTCACGAGATAGGATTTGAGGTGGTTTTATAATTGGTTAAGAGGAAGCCAGCCAGTAAGGCATCCCAGTTCTGGACTCTTTGCTCAGAAGATGAGTTGTGGTCATAGGGGGATATCCAAACATTCCAAAGGAAGTAGTGCCGGCACCCACACAAGACCAGATACTACTGGACCCCAAGTAGTCCAGGTCTACTAGGGCACACCTGAGGTGAGAGCTGGACAGGGTTATAGACTTAGAGGATGCCCTATATGATTCCCATGTGGAAATGGGTGCAGGAGAAGGCTCAAAAAGGCTTGTATGACCAAAGCCCAAGGACTTCAGCCTTTTCAGGTTATAGCCTGGGGCTATAAGGCCCAATATCTACCAGGAGATGCCTTGTAATGTCCCTACTAATGGGCCAGGGATAGGCCTGTTAGGACCCCACAACTTAATTTTTACTGCTATTTACAGACCCATCATAGGACATGCTTCTATTCCTGACTCCCTGCTCAAATGCCTCCTCACTCACTGGAAACAGTTCCATCTCAAGGTGCTTCAGAAAGACCATCTTATGTAATAAAAAAAATGCCTATGTATCCACTTGGAGGAAAAGAGACATGGCCACCCTTTGGCAGCCTAAAATATAACTCCATTTTCCAATTAGGTCTTTGTTGTAAGAAACAGGGAAAATGGTCAGAGGTGCCTTATGTTCAGGCCTTTATGGCCCTCTACCAAAGGCCTGATTTTTGCCCTAGAACTAATCTTCCCTCAAGAGCTGATGCTGCTGAGGACTCTCTCAGGTCCTCTTCCCCCCAGACTATTTCCTCACCAGCATGCTCAGTCAGTATTCCCAGGAGATAAAGACCATCGACTGAGCCCAAACAATGCCAGATGTGGATCTGCCTACCATTGGGTAGGATTCAGGGAATTCAGTATCTAAGCCTGCCACCACTCTATCTCTTCAAGAAGTGGCAGGTGCTGAGAGTCCTGTCCAGATGCAAGTCCTTCTTTCAATTATGGATATTCACCAATACAAGAGAAAACTGGGCAGATTTTCTAAGAATTCTGAAAAGTTTTCTGGTTTCCAATCTGACCTGGTGAGATGTCCAGTTTATCCTGGTTTCTTGCTGCATAGCAGTAGAAAGAAAAAGGATTATAAAAGCTGCAAAGCTGGATAATGATGAAGACTTCACAGCTCCACCCAGTGATAATCAGCCAACTACTGTGTTGTTTGGACCCCAAGAGGGGCCGGAGTGGGATTATAACACAGTGGGTGGAGAAGCCGGTGAGAGTCATTCATCCAAACCATTTTAGTAGGTATCAAGGCTCTGATGAAAATGCAGCTGCTTTTCAACTCTGGCTTGAAGAGGCACTCTGTAAATATACTAATTTAGTCTCAGAGTCCAGGGAAGGTCAGATTATTCTAGGACATAATTTTATTCATCATTCAGCTCCAGATATTAGGAGAAAGCTCTAAGAATTCCAACAGGGCCCACAAAGCAGGAATAAGTCAATTAGTTGATGTGGCTTATTCAGTCTTTAATAACTGTGATAAAATAGAGGACAAACATGAGGAAAAGAGGCAGGCTAAAGCCTTGCTTGCCCTAATTGATAAGGCTCAGGATAAAGCCGCAGTGCTAAGGGAAACTGAGGTAATCCAGAGTGATAGAAGCAGGCCGGAGTGTGCTTCAGGTGCAAGGAACCTGAAGGAGTGCCTTCTAAAAGCACCAAACCCTTGTTGGGTCTGTCAGAATATGGAAGAAGATCGTTGGCCTTGGAGGAGGGACTGCCTTTGTTCCCAGAGAGGGATGAGGCCATTCACCACCATGGTGGCCAGGGTAGAACGCTTGGAAAGTGAATGATGGTGCTCGAGCTAGCCTGCGTGGCTTCCACACAAGCTCATTTACAGGAGCCTCAGGTGACTCTAGAAGTAGTGGGCAAACAAGTTGTATTTCTCTGTGATACTGGGGTGTCTTATTCAATTCTAATTTTTATTGGGAGGAAATTTCATCTCATTCCAAATTTGTTGTGGACCTTGAAGGGGTTAGCTGGACAGCTTTCTTCTACCGCCACTCTGAATTGCCAGTTGAAAGATTTTCTTTTTTTTTTCTTTTTTCTTTTTAATTCTTTTATTGGTACATTTTAGGTATATAATACGTTTACATTTATCACTGGGCGCGTGTACCTGTACATGATGTATCTTAGTTCTTATTTTTCCCCCCATTACCTGTGCGCCCTTCACCCCCTCCACCCTTCCCTATTTACATAGATTTTGTTTCCATTGGAAGATTTTCTTTTCCAAGCTGCCTTTATGATTATATCAAAATGCCCCACACCAGTAATTGGAAGACATATACTCTTCCTACTCAGGACCACTCTGACATTCAAGCCTCCGGCAGCGTGTGTCCTAGTTGCTAGAGACCCAACCAGCCTTGCCCCTTGGGGTCTGATGTCTCTGCTGGGAGTTGATCCCCAAACGTAGTATGATGATACTCTGTAGAAGGCTGTTAAGGCCATCCCAGTAATTATTCAGCTGAAGGACCCTAATCTATACCCTCACAGAAAACAGTATTACTTTAAGAAAGAAGCTAGGGAGGGACTCAAGCCCATTATTGATAAGTTTTTTACCACAGGGTCCCTGATGCCAGGCCAGTCCCCATGCAATACACCCATTTTACCAATAGTTGAGCCATCAGGAGACTACCATCTAATACAAGATCTCAGAGCCATAAATGAGGCAGTGGTACCTACTGACCCATTAATAGAAGACCTGTACACCCTTTTAGCACAGATCCCAGGAGGCACTAAATGCTTCTCTGTCCGTGATCTCAACGGTGCTTTCTTTACTATCCCTATAGATCCTCAATCTCAATATTTGTTTGCCTTTAAATGGGAAGATCCCCAAACAAGATTTCCAACAGTATACTTGGACTGCCTTGCCTCAGGCCTTCAGAGATAGCCCCCACTTTTTTGCATGGGCTTAGCTCAAGACTAGAGAGTCTTAAAAGTTTAAAAAAGGAAGCCTATTGCCACCCCCGGGGGGGTTCCACTGGGGCCTGGAAACTGGGCACTGAATTTTCTTCCTGCCCTTGGACTGACTTAGCTTGTGTGCTGTTTCTGGAGTCCTCTGGTTTGAAGACC